ACCTACGATGTATTTTGGTTTTTTTTTTATTGTTCTTCCTTTACATTTCTCGTTATTTATCACCAAGGGTATCAACAACAGCTATAGATACCATTGCCTTTCGAGTTATAAATAATATTTAAATGGGTTTTTGCCTCTCAACTGTTTTTTGTGTTTTTGACTTTAATGTAATCTGTATCATGTGACTTTTGAATAGTGTCAACACCTTTTATTTTGACTATGGGGATGACGTTTCTATTTGATGAGTAAATATTCTACTCTAAATTCTGGATTTCTTTGGTTTCCTTTGAAATATTATTCTGGTCAATATACAGAATAACAGAAAGGGAAAAGCTTTGTTTTAGCTTACAACCATGTAGAAAACTTATGCATGTTCCCCTCAGTTGAACTACGCCCCTTTACATTTGAATTGTTAGATTCTTATTCCTCTCCTTAACTCACATCATCTCATAATCCATTCCCCTTTACTTTACAGCCTTCAACCATTGAGAATACTCTTGGTTGATTTCTGGTATGTGTCATAATTGTTATTGCTTTTTTTCTTTTTTGCATTGGACATTTGAAACTGGAGAAATATTTGGAATCATATAGTGTTCAGTTAAGTATTAAGTTGATTCATGTGCTAAATGTTTTCCCTTCATTTGCAGCACAAATACTGTTGCTGGTACAACTGATTCGATGCCAAAAGTTCGTGAATCTGATAATGGTAATGCTGAGAGTACTAATGATACTGAATCTTCTGTTAAGGCATCAGAACTTGCTAGCTCATCTGCAGCATCAACATCATTTTTGACATCATCCAAGAGTATATTCAATTTTGGGCACAATTCAAATCAAAATAATGGGTCTCTTGCAAGCCCTTCGTTCTCTTCTTTTCCACCCCCTGTATCTGGTAATTTTACCAGTCCGAATATATTCAGTAGTTTACCTGCTGTTCAAAGCAGTGCCATTAACATGGCAGATTCTAATGGCAGTAGCATGGCAAGTATGACGACTGGCAAAATGGCATCAAGTAACAGCAGTTCTTCTACCCCAGTGGTGGCATCTTCATATCCGACAACTTCTGTTTTCAAATTTGGATCCTCTCCTGTCCCATCAACAAGCTTACCTCTATCATCTTCTGGTTTAGAGCCGCTGGAAACTAAAAGAAGTCAGGATGCAGGAGCTGGTAGTCTTAGCTGCACTGCCTTTGGTAGCTCATCTGCAGGGATTGGTAATTTTGGCTTCATCTCTTCGGCAACTAAAACTGTAAATAGCCTCTCGAGATCTGTTGTTGGTGCTAGTAGTGGTTCTGTGCATAGTGCCCAGGCTTCTACAACCATTGGGTTAGAAGCCTGTACTCAGACCCAGTCAGTTCCATTTGGTTCATCTGCATCTTCCCCATCATATGGGTTAACTGGGAACACAACTTTTTCTTTGAGCAGTTTTTCATCTCCTTCATCTAGCCCTTCTTTTTCTTTTGGGAGTTCGTTATTTTCCTCTAGTCCTGCCATAAATGTCATGAATTCTGGTACAACTTTTGGATTTTGCACCTCGGCTTCCTCTTCTGCTGTAAACTCCCTTAGCTCCAATACCAGTACAAGTTCTACTTCATTTGGGTCTAGTTGGCAGCCCAGCAAGTCTCCATTTGGTTCCACATTTAATTCGTCATCTGGACTTTCCCTTGGAACATCCACCGCTTCTGTCAGTTCACCAACAATGTTTTTATCGACCTCCAGTGCATCAACTCCTCAATTTTCATTCACTTCAGCTGCAGCATCTATCTCAACACAACATGCTTTTGGAAGTCCTACTCCCGCCTTTGCATTTGGCTCAGCTCCTGTTAATAATCAGAAGATGAGTATGGAAGATGGTATGGCTGAGGATACAGTTCAAGCAACAACACCTGCCACTTCTGTATTTCGTCAGCAACCTGGCCCACTTCAATCAAATTTTGTATTTGGTGCATCAACTCCATCGGCAGCCAGTTCTTTCCAGTTTGGTACTCAACAGAATATTGCTCTGCAGAACCCTTCTTTTCAGACTTCTGGCAGTGTAGGTGGGAGTTTCTCATTGGGCACAGGTGGTGGTGACAAATCTGGTCGAAGAATTGTGAAAGCTAAACACAAACAGCGAAAGAAGTAGGACCGTTGTTTATGAAAATGGTTGCCTTCTATCAGTACTCGGGGCTACACATGTTGTGCAAGAAGTAAATAAGTTCTCAAAGAGTAATTGCCGGTTATTGCTTCTCACTTGGCAGCCTGGGCAAGGTTTGCTATTGCTAATCAGCAAATACAAGCTTGTCTGTGTTCTTTGCACTTCCATACTCAATTTTGTAATAGCATACGATATGAAGAAACATGTGCTGTGCTAGTTGTGATGATATTCACAGAGATCGCTGTGTCCTTGCTGCTTGTAATATAGCCAGAATTAAAGTCAATGTATAGCTTAGATGGTTGTAACTTCACAGTTCCAGGGAGGAATCTGTGAAATGATTATTACCGATAGGCATTCTGTTTCCTGTTTGCCATATATTTTAATAAAATGTTGATTAATTTTTTTGTTTAGAAACCGATAAAATTATAAGAAAGAGTTGTATGTTTTGGCAGTAGTAAACAAGATAAAAATCCGTGCAATGAGCCATTCAGAAATGGAAGCTGTCGTGTTGCGGAGTTACCGGTGTATATCATACAATATATTATGTACCCATTTTCTGTTATTATTCTTTCGAAATTGTGTCATGCAATAGATTGAGTGCTATATTTTTAATCTCTATAATTAGGTCCTCCTTATTATATTTTTGTGTTTGTCCTTTGAATTTAGTCCCCATTGCACGCATTTCTCACTATCTTAAAACAAGAATCCTCAGCGGGACAATGTTAAAATCAATTGCATGTACATGACTAGGTTAAAAGCCTTTTCATATAGGAACAAAAATGAAAACAATGTCATTATGAATAAGCATGAATAATAATTTGTAACCTTTACTGTTACTGTAAACACGACCATTTTCCCTCATTGTCATGCTTATACTCTATCACCGTGGAACCTACTACCAATTGCTTTCTCCATCAGAGTAATGGAGGACAACCGTAGCATAGGCATTTCTCACATGCATATTAACCAAGAGGTTTCAATTACTTTTCCCTGCATGCACCCACTGGCATTGTTTTCCACTCACATTTTTCTTCATCTTCTGCTTCATTCTACCTTTGCATCTCTAGTGACCACACTCCATCTTCATCCTCACGCACGCCCTCAGATAACACACAGAAGAAGTAAAAAAAAAAATCACAGAATACAATCAACTTTACAGAGCAATCCATCCATCCGTCACCCTCATCACCGCGTGCTCCATCTTTAACCATCATAATCACCTTCCTCCATTATCACTGTAACTCCATTATTCTTCATCTTCCTGGAAAGGTCTAGGAGCTCGCGTTTTCTCTCGTAGACGGAAGCAACATCGGTCGTCAGTGGCACAGGCGGTGCCACTCGGTGGCAGACGACGTGTGCTGGATTTCTCCCCTCGTCAGATTCTCCAAGAAGCACAGCCACCTCATTATCTAAATCATAGAGGTGATTGGAAGATTATGGGGCTCACTAGAGGTGCAGTAATTGAAAGTGGAAAGAAAACGAAAGAGACGGTGAATGGTTGTGTGGAAGGTGTTTGAGAGGATGGAAGTAGACTGATGATTGTGAAAAAATAAGAGAGTTTGCGTGGAAAGAGGTGAAAGAGGTGGAGAGATATTTTATTTTTTATTATAATTATAATGAGGGTAATTTAGGGTTTATGAAAATATTGTGGAGTTGCAGGAAAAAGGATTACAATAGACAATATCAATAGTTTAATTTATATAAAAAATTGATATTTCTCTAATCTAAAATTTAGAATCTAAAATTTTAAGCTAATAAATTTACGGCTGTTTTTTTTTATATTTTGTTCAAGTTTTTTATTTTTAAGACTTAAGTTCGTATTTAAATTTCTAATTAGTATTTCATGCAAGTCCCCTTTGGGAAACTTGTTTGTTTAGTTGCTTGTAAAGCTCTTTGGAATGAATGAACTACTCAATTTTAAATAAATGGCTATTATAAATGAAATAAATGTGTATTCTAAATTAAAAAAAATTGTGTGAATAATATTTTATAAAAATCCTATTGATATATTTTTTATTTTTTTCTTGAAACACAAGCAAAATCGGGTAAGCACCCACTACCTCTTCAACACTATATACTCAGTAAAAGTGAAAAAAAAGTTTGAAAAAGTTAATCCACTCACCTTTCTAAATCTTCACTCGTTTTCCTCCACTGGTTACTTTTACACATGGAAGTTTGGTAGAAAATAAAGTTTCATTTCAAAAGCAATTTTGCAATTAAAAATAAAATAGAATTTCGCACATGATATAACAGTTTCAAAAATATGCACTATTTGTTTGTTATTAAAAAATTTAATTTCTTACTCAAGAAGGATGCCACACTATGAAAAGCAGTGTTTTCTTTTCTCCACGTGAGCTAAGATTAACAAGTTTTATTTATTTAATGGCAAAGGAAGATTCACTGACAGTTCAAGAATCTAGACAACGATAGATGATACCTGCATAATAAAAAAGGTGGAGAAAGAGACAGAGCCAGAGACTCATCAGTAGTTTCAATGGGAATCTACCTCCTCGAAATGGAATTATTGGTGTAAAAACCATGATAGAGTACAGATTTTCCACATCAGTACTTTTGTCCCATGATGGTTTGAAAGGCCAAAAGTGTACTGAGACGGTGGTTAATGGTTCGTACATTTCTAAATATTCGATAAATCTAACAACGTATGATCATATCAAATGGTTAATAATACGTGTTGTCGTGTCGTGTTAAGTGGGGATTTTGTTTGTATTAGGTAGAAAAAGAATAAAAAAAAAGACTAAAGAGCTGCACTATTCTCGGTGTCACTGTTTGTGAATAGTGGTCTCTTTTACCTTTGTTGATATACATATATTCACCTTGCATTCTTCATTCCATTTTCATCAATGCATTATGAAACTGAATGCTAACTGGTTTCCATTCTGTAACCAGTTGAAAGAAAATCATGAGTTCATCCAACCAGTTCAACCAGGGCAGCAGATTTTTAGCAAGTAAGCAAAGGAATGAGGTTGATGCTAAAGAAGAAATCTTCAAAATTGATGGTAAGAACAATCATGAAGTTAATGTAGTCAGTTGTAGTGTACAATAACTTTCTTATATTATTCTTTTGCTCGTTACCTGTTTCCCTTATTTGTAGGAGCACGTATAAAACCAACGGAAGTTAAGAATTCAGCAGGAAACACAACATTTGCGACAAACTATGGACGTTGGTTGGAAAAACACAAGAAACTTATTTGTGAGATACGGAGTGCTTTAAAAGATGAAGTTGTTGATGACAAACTAGTGTTTCTTATAGACATTGCCATGAAGCACTATTTGGAATTCTCAGAAATGGAAACAAGTGCTGCAAATTTCGATGTCAGCAATGTTGCCTGGTGCACAACAGCTGACCAAAGTCTGTGGTGGATCGGAGGATTTCGCCCTTCTCAACTGCTCCAGGTAATGCTTGTATGCTGTTGCATGGAATGAAAATGAGGAGAGAAAAAAATTTCCAAAATATTTATGCTTCATGGTGTCTGCTTTGGAAACAGGTTATTGTGCCTCAACTTCAACGTTCGTGTTCTCAGCAGCAACTTTCTGATATTTGCAATTTTGTACAATCATGTGAACAAGTAGAATATGCTCTTGCACGAGGCATGGAGAAACTTCACCAAATCCTTCATAATGCAACAACAGAAGGTGAGAGAGGATTAAAACTGACGTGTGCCCTACAACAAATGAGATTTCTAAAGCAGGTAACTAATGCATGCATGCATGCATGCATTCATTGAATCCAATCTTTGTATATCATGTTAATTTTTTTTTCTTTATATTTTAAAAGGTGGTAATAAATATTTTTTTCAAAAAATTTAACATTTAACATGGTTTGTTGTTGAACAGGCAAATGATGTTCGACAGGAATTTTTGCATCGACTGCGTGGTCTGCTCACAAATAGTCAGTATGCAGAATTCTTACTTGGTTTGTGGCAACGCCTCTATAATCCTTCCAGCTCACTTTGAACACTCCATCAAATATGAAAGTGGAAACGTTTATTCTTAAGTTTATTACAAATTATAAATAAATATTTTTGGGTATATTTTATTTGCAGAAAAGTTTCATTTCCTTGTTTACAAAGTTCTTATTCTCATATTTTAGATCAGATCTTAGTAGTTCGTAAGTTTAACTTAAAATGCACTAATCTAGTGCATTGGACGTTTTCTATTTGTAACTCAGCTTTAATACCATATCATACCACAAGAAAACAAGAGCTAGTAATCTTGTAACTCAATTAGATATTGTGTTAAAACAGTACTGAAGTCAATTTTATATAAATTTTTATTAATTAAATTATTATGCTTTAAATTGATTTCTCAATACTATCTCAACATAATATTAAAAATAATAAATATAACTCAAGATAAAAAGAATAAAAATATACTCTAATAATAAAATTTACTTACTGAAAAAGACAGAAAAAAAAACACATGCTATTTTTTGTTGATTTTTTCAATTTTTTATTTTTTTCATGTCCTTTTTACTATATTCATATGACGTTTGACTTGACTTTTTTTTTAATTATTTGTTAATTTTGGAAGTGTCATGAAAACATGAAAAATATACTTAAAACATGGGAAGGAAAAGAAAAAGAAAATAAAGAGAATATAATATAAGATTATTTGAATGGAAAGAAAAGAGTGAAAATTAAAATCAATGAGTAAAAAGTATATTGATGATTTAATTGATGTGTTAAAATAAGAAAAAGTAAATTAAATTAGATAATATAGTAAATTATGAAAATAGCTTTATTTAAATTTAGTAAGAAATATGAATTAAAATTAAAAAAGATAGCTAATTATGAAATAATCATTTTATAAAATTTAAATTAATATTATAAGTTAAAATATAATTTACTTAAACAATTAATTGTAAATTCACACATCTAAAAGAATCGTTTTTTTAATTAATTTAAACTCTACTAGTATTACATGTGAAATAATAAGTTATTTCCAATTTGAAAATATAATTATGACTTTCAAATTGTACAATTTATTATACATTGTTGAATTATACATTTTCGTATATATTGAGCGAAAAAACGACTCACAATTATGCATCTGATTTATGTCATTTGTTTGACAATATTTATAAGTTATATTCTTCGGTGAAACAAAACATTGAAGGGTTGAGATTGTGAACAGTGCTCTTAAAACTTTACATAATACGAAGGAATCCTAATATAAAGCAAAAAAGAATGAGACTGGAAATAATCAAACACCACTTGAACAGATTTCAGACACCAATTTGATAACTCCCCACATGGCTGCATCATTCTGCAGGTAATAATTTCCAAGTTACAGTTTCTGTATCTTCACTTCAACTCAACATATATTAGCCAAATTTAAATATTCAAATAATATTCATCAATTTAATTTTTTAATATATATGTTCATATAAAGTTAAAGTGACTAATTGTAAAATTTTAATTCCATCCTTTTTCGAGTGAATTTCAAATTTCATTGTTTTATTGAATTGAAATACCTTCTAAAAATTTCAAAATTATAAATTCCTGGTCCAAACAACTTATTTTACTCCAAGAAGTTTTAAATTCACCATATAAATAAACTACTCTTAAATTATCTCGTTCAAACATACTATAAAAATATTCCTACCATCAATCCAATCAACTTACCACAAAAACAACGTCAAAAGCTTCTCGATAGCAGCTGAGTGAGTTCTCAATGTTGTGGTTCCTACAACAATAATTTTATACAGTAGAGCATCTGTATTAACTACAATTTTTTATACTGCCTCAAGAACCAGAGAAAGAAACATGTATGTTTTCAGATACGCAAGAAGTTAAAAGCTCCAGATCATGGAAGGAGATGAGAGGGGCATAAAAATACAATTACCATAACTGGAAAACTGCTATGATAATTAATAAGCATCAGCAGTTGCAATTACAATTTTCCAATTCCCTTCTATTGTATAAGCATTTCTTTACTCAATGAAAAATTAACAAAATAATTAAAAAATAAACAAAACTTTGGAAAAAAGTAACATACTCAAGTCAACTAATCCTCTTTTCTCACAAGTCCCTCTAGAAGAGAAAAATATGAAAAAAAAATTAAAATGTTCTTAAAAACTAAAATTACCTTATGCAAAAGTTAATTTTTGGAAGATTTCTAGTACAACTTCTCCAAATTTTGTTTTTAACTAGTATATATGCTACTGATAGCTTATGCACAAACTCATTTTCTTTTTTTGTTCTTTTTTTCTTCTAAAAGTGTTAATGGGGAAGTTTGTTCAAGCAGACCATTAATCACTTCATGGATATAAAATATCAAGTTATTAACTAATTTGTGTTCAAAATCAAACTTAGGAAAGGGCAGTTTGTTAAATTTTAACATTTTTCTTTTTACAATGCCATTTCATGACTTAACTCAACATCCATAATAAATCAATTCAAAATTGATGAAAGATGATAGACGACGACTTAATAGAAAACTGCGGAGTCAAAATGCATAGGAGAACAAGGTGTAAAGCTAACAAATTTACTAGCAATATCTAATGCTGAAAATTCACCAAGGAGAAACACTAAAGCTTTAAACTAAATAGCAGGTGGATGCAACAAGGAAGTAAGAGTGGCAGTTACTACTATAGAATCAGAAACAAGAGTGAATCAAATGAACTGAACTTGGCTACAAATGCAACAGTTTCTGGTTGACACTAGAAAAGTCCTGCTGTGAAACAAGCAGATACTCAATAGAATAAGCAAAGAGGCCAAAAACAGTGACCAAAATGCACAATGACACAGATTGCGACCAAAAATATACAACAAAAAAGGGGAGCAAAATTATAGAAACCACAAAAAACCCAAAAATACCTAGACAGAATCAAATGCATTGCAGTAATATAGCACGGACACTTTATTTATACTGAGAAAAAATAAGTTAAATACAATAAATAAAGAAGATATGAAACAATAACAAATAAAAAGGTTCCTAATAATAAATATATAGTCAAGATAATCTTGATTATACAAGATTTGTCCCTTATTTCTATAATTATAAATTATAACAGAGGAGAATTTAATTAGTAGGGATTCAGTTGCAAACAATGAAAATTTTCCAGCTAAATGAAAACATACTTAATTATTGGTCAAGAAAATAACAGCATCAAAACCCTTAAATTTCACTGAATACCCTCAAATTTTCTAAACATATTAAACAACAATCCCCTTCAAAGATGAAGATTTACAAAGAAAAAAGTTATGGAATGCCATTTTTCTTCAGAGATGTTCCATTCAAGATACTTAATAAAGTTTCTGTTCTATTATATGAATGATTTAGTAGTATAAACAGGAGTCTTTGTATCATATTATATTCAACCAGTGATCAAAATGGTAGATTCTCCTATATAATCTATGTATTATATATTTTGGTAAAAGAAATTTACTAGAAGATGGATTACAAGAGATAGAAGAGAGCACAATGAAAAACATTTTCCCAAAATAATCAATAGAGAATAGCTTTGCTTAGTATCAAACATCACTTAAGAAGGTAAAACATAAAAATGAAGAGTTCCTTCTATGATTGGTCCAAGTTTAGAAGTTTAGCATTCAAAAAACAAAAGCAATAGTAGTTTAGATAAGTATTTTGGTAAAGATATTTGTTGAAAAAACTGTCAATCTGTCATGCTACCTAGATAACTGGACTCAAAGTTTCACAATAATATAGTAGAGATCAAGTCATAGTCGTAAGTACCTTTATAGAGATTAGCTGAGCTCAAATTTACACGTTACCAAGACAACTAGATGATAAGAAATTTGGCAAGGCAGATTCAAAACTTACAGGAATCCCATGGATATTCGGGTCTCATAATTCAAACCATCAGACATTCTCAAGTCTCCAAGGTGATCACCAAGAAGGAGAACATTGGTTCTCTTCTTCAATGAGGCATTGTCATCAGTAGGACCATCCATATCACCAAACCTCTCATGAACAGGAGCTGCCATATCAAGTGCGTGCTCATTTTTATTTAAGCTATGAATCAATTTTCCTGTAATAGAAATTTACAAGTACAATGTAAGAACTATATTTATATTAAGTCCACGAAAATTGTATTTCATCCATAATACTTCAATCTCATTCAACAAGCGCTGGAGGTTGAAAAAACATACTTTCAATAACTCAGCCATGAGCTGCAATGTTTCAAATAAACTTATAACAAAACATATTCTACATGAAAGCCGATATATACATTTGTTTTCAATAGTTTAAAGAAAAAATAGAATTTTCCAGGACTCTGGGAATAGAGAATTTATGTTTCTGCAGGTTTTTCAGGTTGCCGTTGCTGAATTCCTTGTTACCTTCTGTGAGAGGTCTGCATTTGCATAAGATAGATTTATTTATCNCTCTTAAAACTTTACATAATACGAAGGAATCCTAATATAAAGCAAAAAAGAATGAGACTGGAAATAATCAAACACCACTTGAACAGATTTCAGACACCAATTTGATAACTCCCCACATGGCTGCATCATTCTGCAGGTAATAATTTCCAAGTTACAGTTTCTGTATCTTCACTTCAACTCAACATATATTAGCCAAATTTAAATATTCAAATAATATTCATCAATTTAATTTTTTAATATATATGTTCATATAAAGTTAAAGTGACTAATTGTAAAATTTTAATTCCATCCTTTTTCGAGTGAATTTCAAATTTCATTGTTTTATTGAATTGAAATACCTTCTAAAAATTTCAAAATTATAAATTCCTGGTCCAAACAACTTATTTTACTCCAAGAAGTTTTAAATTCACCATATAAATAAACTACTCTTAAATTATCTCGTTCAAACATACTATAAAAATATTCCTACCATCAATCCAATCAACTTACCACAAAAACAACGTCAAAAGCTTCTCGATAGCAGCTGAGTGAGTTCTCAATGTTGTGGTTCCTACAACAATAATTTTATACAGTAGAGCATCTGTATTAACTACAATTTTTTATACTGCCTCAAGAACCAGAGAAAGAAACATGTATGTTTTCAGATACGCAAGAAGTTAAAAGCTCCAGATCATGGAAGGAGATGAGAGGGGCATAAAAATACAATTACCATAACTGGAAAACTGCTATGATAATTAATAAGCATCAGCAGTTGCAATTACAATTTTCCAATTCCCTTCTATTGTATAAGCATTTCTTTACTCAATGAAAAATTAACAAAATAATTAAAAAATAAACAAAACTTTGGAAAAAAGTAACATACTCAAGTCAACTAATCCTCTTTTCTCACAAGTCCCTCTAGAAGAGAAAAATATGAAAAAAAAATTAAAATGTTCTTAAAAACTAAAATTACCTTATGCAAAAGTTAATTTTTGGAAGATTTCTAGTACAACTTCTCCAAATTTTGTTTTTAACTAGTATATATGCTACTGATAGCTTATGCACAAACTCATTTTCTTTTTTTGTTCTTTTTTTCTTCTAAAAGTGTTAATGGGGAAGTTTGTTCAAGCAGACCATTAATCACTTCATGGATATAAAATATCAAGTTATTAACTAATTTGTGTTCAAAATCAAACTTAGGAAAGGGCAGTTTGTTAAATTTTAACATTTTTCTTTTTACAATGCCATTTCATGACTTAACTCAACATCCATAATAAATCAATTCAAAATTGATGAAAGATGATAGACGACGACTTAATAGAAAACTGCGGAGTCAAAATGCATAGGAGAACAAGGTGTAAAGCTAACAAATTTACTAGCAATATCTAATGCTGAAAATTCACCAAGGAGAAACACTAAAGCTTTAAACTAAATAGCAGGTGGATGCAACAAGGAAGTAAGAGTGGCAGTTACTACTATAGAATCAGAAACAAGAGTGAATCAAATGAACTGAACTTGGCTACAAATGCAACAGTTTCTGGTTGACACTAGAAAAGTCCTGCTGTGAAACAAGCAGATACTCAATAGAATAAGCAAAGAGGCCAAAAACAGTGACCAAAATGCACAATGACACAGATTGCGACCAAAAATATACAACAAAAAAGGGGAGCAAAATTATAGAAACCACAAAAAACCCAAAAATACCTAGACAGAATCAAATGCATTGCAGTAATATAGCACGGACACTTTATTTATACTGAGAAAAAATAAGTTAAATACAATAAATAAAGAAGATATGAAACAATAACAAATAAAAAGGTTCCTAATAATAAATATATAGTCAAGATAATCTTGATTATACAAGATTTGTCCCTTATTTCTATAATTATAAATTATAACAGAGGAGAATTTAATTAGTAGGGATTCAGTTGCAAACAATGAAAATTTTCCAGCTAAATGAAAACATACTTAATTATTGGTCAAGAAAATAACAGCATCAAAACCCTTAAATTTCACTGAATACCCTCAAATTTTCTAAACATATTAAACAACAATCCCCTTCAAAGATGAAGATTTACAAAGAAAAAAGTTATGGAATGCCATTTTTCTTCAGAGATGTTCCATTCAAGATACTTAATAAAGTTTCTGTTCTATTATATGAATGATTTAGTAGTATAAACAGGAGTCTTTGTATCATATTATATTCAACCAGTGATCAAAATGGTAGATTCTCCTATATAATCTATGTATTATATATTTTGGTAAAAGAAATTTACTAGAAGATGGATTACAAGAGATAGAAGAGAGCACAATGAAAAACATTTTCCCAAAATAATCAATAGAGAATAGCTTTGCTTAGTATCAAACATCACTTAAGAAGGTAAAACATAAAAATGAAGAGTTCCTTCTATGATTGGTCCAAGTTTAGAAGTTTAGCATTCAAAAAACAAAAGCAATAGTAGTTTAGATAAGTATTTTGTTAAAGATATTTGTTGAAAAAACTGTCAATCTGTCATGCTACCTAGATAACTGGACTCAAAGTTTCACAATAATATAGTAGAGATCAAGTCATAGTCGTAAGTACCTTTATAGAGATTAGCTGAGCTCAAATTTACACGTTACCAAGACAACTAGATGATAAGAAATTTGGCAAGGCAGATTCAAAACTTACAGGAATCCCATGGATATTCGGGTCTCATAATTCAAACCATCAGACATTCTCAAGTCTCCAAGGTGATCACCAAGAAGGAGAACATTGGTTCTCTTCTTCAATGAGGCATTGTCATCAGTAGGACCATCCATATCACCAAACCTCTCATGAACAGGAGCTGCCATATCAAGTGCGTGCTCATTTTTATTTAAGCTATGAATCAATTTTCCTGTAATAGAAATTTACAAGTACAATGTAAGAACTATATTTATATTAAGTCCACGAAAATTGTATTTCATCCATAATACTTCAATCTCATTCAACAAGCGCTGGAGGTTGAAAAAACATACTTTCAATAACTCAGCCATGAGCTGCAATGTTTCAAATAAACTTATAACAAAACATATTCTACATGAAAGCCGATATATACATTTGTTTTCAATAGTTTAAAGAAAAAATAGAATTTTCCAGGACTCTGGGAATAGAGAATTTATGTTTCTGCAGGTTTTTCAGGTTGCCGTTGCTGAATTCCTTGTTACCTTCTGTGAGAGGTCTGCATTTGCATAAGATAGATTTATTTATCTTGTGGTTGTAACTTGCAAGAGCAGTACATTAATCAATTATAGAAAGTAAATATAGAACTTGCTTATGATAAGTGTCTATTCGACCAATATTTTGAGACACTTTCATACACTTTTGGATCAGTTAGCATTAAGTGGTATCATTGGTTTTAAGATGAAAATAACCATACCATATAAGAACTAGAAAATTTAGAATGTAATTTATTGCCCTGAAAGCTACCAGTAAACATGTTCCAAATTAATCAACGGATTTCAACTAGGTTGAAGTGCATTTTGAAAACCTTTAGTTCACATTGGAATGTGCAGGGATCATATCTAGTTCACACTTATTATTTGTGCAACCAGCCATCCTACAAACTATAATGCATAAGCTCAGCCAATTTTTTCTGTAACAATATTAAAGTCTATCATACAGCACATATAAAGGTACCGAGATCAAATAAATTTCTTTAGCTGTCTGTTCCCACAGGCAAGGAAACATTTATCAAAATATGATACAGTACATATTATACATTTTCTACTCTGTTTGCTAGGCAGTCATGGTAAGAGACGCAGTAGATGTAGCGATGTTATTTTACCCAACCCACTCATCAATGTGTAAACAGAAATAAATGAATGTATTTGCTTTACTCTATTGACAATGAAACCTAAATGCGTTTAAGTAATGCCTCAGCCTCAATATATATTTGGACATGAAAACTGAGATGAAAAACCAACAAATATGCGTGTAAACAGAAATAAATGAATGTATTTGCTTTACTCTATTGACAATGAAACCTAAAAGCGTTTAAGTAATGCCTCAGCCTCAATATGTATTTGGACATGAAAACTGAGATGAAAAACCAACAAATATGTGGCTAATGAATGCAGGAAACATAAAATCACCTTTAAATGATACAAGGCTGCCATTGTCATTAAATACCATTCTGTTGGATACTATCCTCACATTCTTGAAGGATCTGTGAAGTTTCTGCCTTAGGACCTGTTATTATCAAGAAAAAACAATATATTGCAATTGAGAGGCGTGTACAACAATAGAGGAGAAAAGAAAGTGCATATTTTGCAACCTTGCCATCATAAAACTAAATTGATTTTTCAGACCTCTTCAATGATATCAGCGAGCCCTGCAGAGAATATTAACACAGGAATGTCTCTTTCCTGAAAATTACAAAATAGAATATGGGAACCAGTGTCAGAAATTGAATTTTCATATATTTACATTAACATTTCATAAATTCAACTGATAGAAAATAAACATATCAAGATGCAATGTAAGATGTTATATCTGCCAAAGAAGTATACCTCCAGAAACTCAAAAAGTTCAGAGACACCTTCCCTGAAAGCTATGTTAGCATTAGCAACAGATTGTCTTATTGATTCATATGTAAGTCCTCCCTCAACAAGCAGAGCATGTGTTTTTCCCCACCTGATACACCAAATTTAAAGTTTCAGCAAAATGTAATAATGCGAATGCTGAACATTCAACTTAGTGCCTATACGTCCACCATTAACAAACTCACACACCACTCTTCCATGAGCTTCGTTTTCTCTTCAAGTCCAATAGTCGGTGAAAACTCTAATGGATGGTAATATTCATATAATTGCTGCCTTTTGGCATCATATTCTGGATTACCCTGCTGCAAAAGGCCATGACTGGCTACAGAAGCACAAATGACTCTATTAGATATGATCCATAGCAAAATTCTGAATGACATCCATTTCTTTTCTTACATCAAAGGGACCAAAACATACTTTGACCACGAGTTCCATTAACCGAAAACTTAGTTAACGTGGCATCAAAATCAGCAATCACCTGGTACCATGAATTTGTTAATACAATAATAAAAATAGAAACACATTGCGCTGGGAAAGTTTGAAGAACTAACAAACATTTTTGTAAGGGTACCCAATATTATGTCACCAAACTACTACAGTAAGTAAATTCAACAAGCACACCAAGAAAACATATAGAATACTCAATAAAACACTTAAATTAATTATGAACCAAATGCGTGCAGAAACCTGAAGCTTCTGGGGACCACCCGAACGAATTGCATCAATTTTCTTCTCCAACAACGCAGGGTCACCCACCAAGAAGTCCGAAGCAACCTTCACTTCCTCCATTTCTGAATTTCTCCCGCAACAAAAACTAGAAAATGATACCCTTTAATGAAAAAATGTCAGAATAGTTAAAAAATTAAAACGAAGGAAAAGAAAATACAAACTTTAAACATAGATGTGCAATAGCAGGTTAAAAGAAAATGAAGAAAAAAAAAGGGACAAAAATGGGGTGGGAAGAAGAAGAAGAACCTCGAGGCAGTGTAACGGGAAGAAAAGGAGAAGTGGCGTTGGCGAAAAGAGGTGGCGATGATAGCTTGAACTTGAAGTTGGAAGCATTGATTCATTATAGTAAGTGACCGAATCAAAACTTTCAATTTTAATAATTTCTAAATTTTTAACACTCAAAAACAACTTTTTACTTTGATCAATTTTAATAATTTCTTTTCCCCTCACACTTTTCTCTCTTTATTTTCTTTTTTTGCATCAAGTAAATGTTTTTCTTCCATTAGACACAACTTAAAAATGAATGGCTCCAATTTTTTGTAGAAAGTGATTATAGATTGTGTTTTTCAAGAGTTTGATTGAAACTACTGACTGGTGCAGATGCTTTTTGAAGATGAACTGTGCCCCCTGCAGATAAATATATATTATTTTCTTATGTCATTATCTTTCACCATCGATATTAGATGAAAATCAATCAAGACTAATATTTCTTATGTTTACAAGTCTCATCATAAAAAGAATATTTACAATTTTCTTTTACATTCAATGACAAGTCACAAAATATATACTTTTATTTGATTTTAAATTAATTTACTTAAAGAAAGATAGAGTGTAAATTAAAATAAATAATTTTAAAATAAAATTTTAGTAACATTATACATTAAAATATTAATATAAATAACTTTAATTTCTTTTCGAGATACACTAAAATATAAATTTTAAAAATATATTTTTCTAAACAATAATTTTATAAATTTTAGAAATAACGATAATTTTTTTAAGAGTAACACTAAAATATATATCCATTTAATATTTATATTATAAATT